CTACGTCTTCAAGAATTTGGAATCTATGGTATCTTTTCTCTAGGTGCAGTGTTTATTACTCGCCAACACCAGGCTCTATACATAACTTATAAGTCCCTCAAAGCTATTTCTTAACTAATTCTCTTGAATCAGAGTCTTCCTTTGATTTATCAGCTACACTTTTATACAGATTCAGGCTATCAGTATAGATGTATCCTTTCCTTCTTTCTGTTCTTGAGATTTTTCTATATTATTTTTTTTTTTAAAAAAAAATTTTATTTCACTTTCTTTCTCAAGAATTTTCTGATAGTTTTTTATGTTTCCTGGGAGTATCAGTTACATAGTCTATTTAATAAGCTTCTTTATTTGCTTATTAGATAAACCTTCATGTTTTTGTACTGATTTCTTTCATTAATCTATTTCCTTTATTGTTAGTCTATTTTTTCTTTCCACGGTCTACCTGGTGAAGTTTGAAATAAGTTATTTCTTGGACTTTTTCATCTTGTTCAGAAAAGTCTTTGTGAATTTCTTTTTTCTAATCTTTCTTTCTAAACTAATCTCTTTTCATTATAAAGTTCCCCTTTACTCCTACACTTTACTGTCGTAACTATCCTACTCTTTTTTATGTTACATCCATATAAAAAATTTATTTTATTTCTATATTTTCAGTATTGATACCTTCATGCACAGCTTCTAGGACCTATCATTTAAGCTTTAGAAGCTATGCAGGGTTATTCACAACAAATGAAAAAGTTATAAATTTCATAATATATATTGCTTCTCCTAAATATAATGGACTTGAGGCATAGATAGTTTCCAGAGCTGGATGGAGATAAAGAATGAATTTTATACCCATAAGTCTTATACACTTCCTTAAAGTTCCTTTTCTATTACAGAGTGTCAGATCTCAGTAATATTATATATCTCACAGGGATCGTATCGAATCTCACAGTCACTACCAAATTGTCACTTCTGGAAATAGCGAGTCTGTCACTCAATCTTATAGATTTTCATTTGACATTCTAATATAACCTATCAAAAGATGGCATAGTGATTAGGCAAAAGGATTCCTAAGGCTTCAGTTATCGTTTGAACTCTAATCATGTAGTAGGTTTTTAAGGTTATTGATTCTCTTAACTTCCTACAATCTATTCAAGTTGACCTATCCTCTCTCTTAGGATAGTCAAACACAAGATTCAGAGGGCAAGTTCTCTTTAATCAAATGACTTAACAACACTTTACTCTGTCTGAAGAGTAAATAGGCAGTGTGATGTTATCATGGGACCAAGTTTATAATTTTAGCGAAAGTCTTTACAAATTAAAAGACAGGTAAGTGATTTAGTGAAATATGTTTGGGAATTTTTGGATCAGGGATAGAACACTAGATAATTTATTGTTTGAATTATCTTACAAAAGTGCTCGAAATTGAGCAGAGGGGGCGAAATGCCCTTTATTTATATAAAATAAAACATAATACAGATTTGAATAATTTAAATAATTTAAACAATTATAATTATTATAATCGTTATACAGATTATAATGATTATAATTGCTATACACATTATAATTATTTTAATAATTATAATGATTGGAATTATTATAATCAGTATAACGATTATAAGCATTTTAATAATTATAATAATTATAATTATTATAATTATTAAAATCGTTATAATCATTATAATGATTATAATGCCGGGATCCCTATAAAAGTCAAAGATCGGCGTAACCGAAATATATACTGCGGATTGTCCAAATGACCTCAGACGGGGTCCAGCCTGGTTACATTTCCCGGTTCACACTAGCGATGCTACTCTCTTATAAAAAACCATCGTTTATCACAAATTTATTTCATAATATATAAGAGAAAATCGATTTTTCTTATTAAAATCGATTACTTCACCAAAATCGATTTTAAATTTCAAAATCGATTCTTAGAATCGATTAATCGATTTTAAATTTCAAAATCGATTCTTAGAATCGATTAATCGATTTTAAATTTCAAAATCGATTTTTAAAATCGATTTTAAAATAATCGATTTTCGATAATCGATTCCCATCCCTAACTTTTGCCTCACAGCCAGCTTGCTTTGGCGAGCGGGAAACCACCAGCTGCTCCCACGGCGACTCCCAGTGCAATATGGGCCTCTCCTGGTTTTAAACTAGGAGAAAAAAAAAAAAAAGGCAATGTTTATAAACAAATAAAGTGAAAATATCAAAAAAAAAATTATGAAAATTCAATCCCTAAACAGGTTTAAACACTTTATGTTACCACTGTAACACTACCAATGACTACATAAAAACTATTTCTAAAGAAACTAAATAGTCAACGCCACATTTGCTAATACATATTATAAATATTAAAATTCAAATAGTTTTAATTATAGTGTAAAAACAAATTACATACTAGAATTAATAATTATATAGTTATATTTTAATTGCTTACTATAACTTTATTATTAACCCTTATACTGTAAGACAAATTATCTGTTGATATAAGTAGTGATTTACCAAGTTGAAACGATATTAATCAAATTATCACCTATCAATTTTTTTCTTTCTTCAACGATAATTGCTGTATAAGAGCCTGGTGTTGGCGAGTAATAAACACTGCACCTAGAGAAAAGATACCATAGATTCCAAATTCTTGAAGACGTAG